TGATGCATCCCGTTCGGCCTGCCATCGAGGTCCCATCGTCCATTACCGGGAGAGAGAATCGATGAAGTGGGCGAGACGGGGGCGTCCATGTACGAAGAGAAAGTCAGTCGGCCATTGATTACACATTGAGCCACGCTTGATTGAGGAGGAGGAGAGAAAGACCTCTGAGCATGGGGGGAGGGGGGGGGGGGGGGGGGGGGGGTGTATCAACAACAATCTCACCCGGGACCAAAGCTGGTATCTGTTGCAGGAAAGGCAGCGGCTACTTTCTGTCAGTCAAAGTCGCCAAGGGAGCACATAAAAGGTTTATCGTACGCACCTTTCCCATCTGTCGATGCTCAGTGTGTCCCGTCCTCTCCAGCAAGCACTTTTTCCCCTCCTTCTTCGAGACCACAAAACCTGCTCGCCAAGTCACAGCCAAGCAGCAATCAGTCACAATGGCGCTCGACGAATACACCTACGTCTTTGCCATTGGCACGTTCTTTGCTATGCTAGATGCATACAACAACGGTGCTAGTAAGTCCAATCCCTATATCGGGCAAACAGGCGCAGACAAGATACTTGGTCTGCAGTTGCCGATAAACTTTGGCGCTTCAAGACATCAGACACTGACTCGGCCCAACTTTCAGACGATGTTGCAAACGCCTGGGCGACCAGTGTGTCATCGAGATCCATCACCTACAGACAAGCCATGGTCTTCGGTACCATTTTTGAGATGTTGGGCGCCATCACCGTCGGTGCGCGTACGGCCGATACTATCAAGAACGGCATTATCCCAAACAGCGTCTTCAACGGCAACCCTGGCGTTCAGATGCTCGCCTTCACATGTGCTCTGGCCGCCGCTTCTTCCTGGGTCATGTGGTGCACGCGACACTCTGCCCACGTCTCCTCGACATACTCCCTGGTTTCTGCTGTTGCTGGTGTCGGTGTTGCCGTTGCTGGCGCCGATAAAGTTCAATGGGGTTGGAACGGCGGGAAGGGTCTTGGTGCCATCTTCGCTGGTCTGGGTATGGCCCCTGCCATCTCAGGCTGCTTCGGTGCCATCATCTTCAGTCTCATCAAGTTCGTGGTTCACGTTCGTAAGAATCCCGTGCCATGGGCTGTTTGGACTTCGCCCTTCTTCTTCCTCATCGCCGGCACTATCTGCACGCTTTCCATTGTCTACAAGGGCTCTCCCAACCTGGGTCTGAGCAAGAAGCCTGGCTGGTACATTGCCGCCGTCACCATGGGAACTGGCGGTGGTCTTTGCCTCCTGGCCGGTCTCTTCTTCGTCCCCTTCGTCCACGCCAAGGTCATTAAGAAGGACTATACCATCAAGTGGTACCACTTTGTCTACGGCCCTCTTCTATTCAAGCGCCCCGCTCCCGCCGATGCTGAGAAGGCCAAGGTTCCCAACTACGCGGTCGTCCAAGAAGATGAGCACGAGCAAACCCTTCCTTCCCACGAGTCTGTCAAGTCTTCCGAGTCTGGGGATGAGCCTCTTAAGGAGACTCATGAGAAGGAGATCCACGTTCCCCAAGAGAGGTCTCTGGCTGCTGCCGAGATTGGCCAGGGCCCTACCTACAAGCAACTTCAGGCCGAGGGCGAGGCTAAGTTGCACGCAAAGATGATGAAGAAGCGTGGTCCTCTTGGCTGGGCCATGCGAACCCTTCGCGACAACCCGATGGGCGCTGGTCAGATCTACGAGTTCCACAACATGAAGATCGCCCTCAAGCGAATTCCCGCCATGATCACTGTCGGTGCTCTCTACGGTCTTCACTACGATATTCACGCTGCTCAGACCGGCGTCGCCGGTACCCCCGAGGGTGAGCGCATGAAGCGCGTCTACGCCAGTGCTAAGAAGTACCCCAACGAGGTTGAACACACATACTCTTTTGTCCAGATCATTACCGCTTGCACTGCTTCCTTCGCCCACGGCGCCAACGATATCGGCAACTCTGTTGGTCCCTGGGCCGTTATTTACTCTGCCTGGAGTACCGGTGACGCTGCCGCCGCCAAGGCTCCCGTTCCTGTTTGGCAGCTTGCTGTTCTCTCCGCCACCATTTCTCTTGGTCTCATCACCTACGGCTACAACATTATGAAGGGTGAGTCTTATCTAAACCAAATTCTGGGTATTCACTTAACTAACAAACAACAGTCATGGGCAATAAGATTACCTACCACTCCCCCAGTCGTGGTTCTTCCATGGAGATGGGCGCGGCCATTACTGTCCTCGTCTTTTCCCAGTACTCTCTTCCAGTTTCCACCTCCATGTGCATCACTGGGGCTACGGTCGGCGTAGGTCTATGCAACGGTACTCTCAAGGCTGTCAACTTCCAGCGTGTTGGTCTCTTGGTTTTCTCTTGGATCATGACAATCCCTGTCGCGGGCACTCTTGGCGGTGTCCTCATGGGCTTGTTCCTTAACGCTCCTCACTTCTAAGCGCAACGCATTTTTCCCCGGTGGGGACTTTCATTTGATACCATCTTGACTAGACACATAATGTACATGAACAAAAAGGGGGCTTGGCACGGCATACAAAGACGGGTGGTTTGTTATTAGCATTAAGAGCACAATCATGACAACTTGCATCTTCACAACTGAGCCAAGGACTTGGCGTAGTCTGGAAGTGACTGAGTGATATATACGAAATCGCAGTCTCGGTGACACTTTTGGGGAAGAATACCACCGGGGCCGGAGCGGGTACCCTTCTGCGGCCCGTCCCACTCTGTAAGCCAAGCCAAGCCAGACATGTGACATGTTCACACGACAAGAAACTAAAAGTGTACCCTTTACCTTCAGGGCTTTCTTGGCAGGAGCAAGCTATCACCCTTTGGCAGATCACGATGTCTCTGGGGACGATGCAAGGGACCAGCCGCGGTGTAAACTGGGACGGATAGATATTCAATCAATCCCAGACGAACTTGGCAAAACCTAAAGTCAGCTCGTTGAAACAGAAGACAAGACGTGGGCAGCTTATTTCTTTGTGATTGGGCGCTCAGTTTGATATCGGGAAGAATTGTCAAGACGTCGTGGGGTAACGCCAAGCTTCCGTTGTGGCTATGCGAACGTGTCATCGCCCATCACTTTAACTGCTCATGAGGATGCCAAGATTACACCATTGCCACAGTGAGGGAGAGCCCTGAAGAAGAAGGGTAGCATGATGACTGAAGTTGGCAATAGCTCGTGTGATCAACAATGATGCTTAAGCTTGGCACTCTCTTAAGGGCTGTATTAGCCATCTGCTCGCCACAGTCTCTGCGGAGAGTGGTTTTCTATTTCTGAAATCATATTGATATGGTAAATGAGCCATCAGCTTCATGCACGGAGTTTTCCATCCGTTTCTAAGAGATCTGCTTACCCCCTCATACTTGGCAGACTGAAATTGTGGCGTGATAATAAGTCAGGACACGATGTTGTAGTATGGCAGTAATATAGAAACCGAGCCAAACAAGCCAGGTGGTTGCCAAGGGTGAAATCCAAAGTGATTAACTCGCCTCTTGAAAATGTAATATCGAAGCTATTTTTGGATAAACTACGATTTTCTCGCATGCTCCCGGATTCAGCAAACATCCTTAATTGGTTTGTTACTAAGTTCCACGGTAAGAAATTGACGAATAACCCCTTCAGAGCGGAGTCTGGTGTATGATACCCGTGTTCTAACATGAAGCATCCGCCATGCGTGATATTTTTCATGCAATTTTATTGAAGCACACGTAGAAGCTTCATAATATGAGTCACGACCTCCAGCACAGTCTTAATAAGAACCATGGAAAGTTTTCTCTTGTTGGGTAGGGTTCATCGTGATAGTCAGCAGTTCCTAAGCTAGCTGAGGAGGACTTCAAGCTATCACAATGCATTTCAACCGTCTCTATATCCCATAGGTAGCACTCCACCAAATCGTGTACGGAGATCGTCTTGAGAACGAACGCTTATACTACGTTTGGAAAGCTTATACATAACTTCGCGTCTAATTCTGGCCAACTTACCGTAAGTTTCCGTTTATAACTTGGGTTTTGGATGGATGGGCGCCTCGACTGTGTAGAGAGTAGGTTAGGCACGGGATGGTGCCAAGATAGTGAACCGCTTAAAACCGTCGGCTCCTCGAATCTATAAAATCACCCAGCTCGTGGAGGGAAGTTTGCTCCGGAGAATCAAATCAAGTGCCAACAATCGCTGCTCATTTAAGTGCGTGCATACGCTCACGTCTAGGACAATGTCAATGAATGTGTGGCCCACTGTCCAGTGACGTGAGAGTTCCGTATCGACTACGTTTAAAGGCAATCTTATGCATGTCGTCTGTGGCTTCTCGGATATAACTATGACAGACAAGGTACCTAATTGGTATTAATTCGTAAAGGTCACTGCTCAAAGCTCACGTTGCTGCGTGCCGAGATAAGAGCAAATACTTTTGACTAGTCGAGCCTGTGCTGTTGCCGAGCGAAGCATAAGGTAGACCAGGTTGCCAGGTTTGGCAATGAAGTCAAAGAGCTCGCTCAAATTCAACTCCGGCATAGCTTCCCGGTTGATTAGTCGCTTTTGTGACCGGGCAGCATCCAGCAGGGCTTCATGAAGCTTTCGTGCGCACAGGAACAAAGTCATCAAGCGTTCATGCGGAAGTGCAGCGGACTGGCCCCGGTCTATGCCCCGGAGCGGCGACATGGGCCTCCTTGCTTAGGGTGTGAATTTCGTATTCAATACGATTGAAGCTGAAATTCTATTGGCAGTCAGTCCCGTCAGCCCCGCACTAAACCACTAGTGTAGACCGCCCACAACAACGGACAAGTTGAATTCGGCGGGGAGCTTCGCCGAGGCATGGGACCTGTGAAACAGCTACAGCTGATGAGTGACGAGTCCAACTTTTGCTGCGGCAGATTTTCCAGATGCAACAACGTTGCAACTATTAAATCATAGTCTTTTTGAGCCCTTTCGAAATCCTTGCAGCACCTAGAAATTTCAAGGAATTCATTCTAACCGAGCATCTCATTACCCTTAGGCTCCGAATCGGGTAATCTCAAACAATGCCAGCTGGAATTGCCCAACTCTTATCCCTTGCTCCGGGAGGACCAGGTTCTCAGGCTCCTCTCGAGAATTCGCATCCAGGGGTGGGGGCTTCTAGCACAAGCATCAATCTCAACCCATGTGTTGCCGCGACGTTCTCGGCACCATCATTGCTAGGAGCAGATTTCCTTTCCTTAGAAGCGTCTCTAGTCGCAAATTTCAGCGGATCAGTACCCGCAGAGTGGAGATTCTCACAACCTGCCGTCGAACTACACAGTACCTCATTCTGCAATATCACCGTGTCCTACACCCACCCTGGTCACAGTGACCTTGTCAGTGTCGAGACCTGGCTTCCATCCAAGGATTGGAACGGAAGACTTCAAGCTGTGGGTGGTGGTGGGTGGCGCGCTGGCCGGATGCTTCTAAGTTATACCACTATGGCCGGTGCTATCGCGGATGGATATGCCACTGTGACTACTGACTCTGGACTTGGAGCCGCTATGGGGCCTAGTACGTGGGCTCTAATAAGTCCTGGTAACTCAAATCTATACGCACTGCAGGATCTTGGATCACAGACATTGTATGACGAGGTAATATAAGTAAACATCCCTAGCTGTATTGAGGTTTGAGCTTCGCTAACATGTATGGACTGAAGGCAATCATCGCCAAGCATCTCATTGAGACTTACTACGGCAGAGAGCCTTCTTATTCGTACTGGAATGGGTGTTCGCAAGGAGGTCGTCAGGGTGCGGCACTTGCTCAGCGGTATCCATCAGTCTATGACGGTATCATCGCGGCAGCACCAGCGATTAACTGGGCCGGGGTCCTTATCAACACCATGTGGCCCAGGGTATACATGGACGTCACTGAGCAGTATCCTCAGCCATGCGAGCTGCAACAGCTTACTGCTCTTGCTGTATCTGCTTGCGACAGTCTTGATGGAGTTGAGGATGGGCTTATCGCCGACACGAATGCCTGCAAGAGCATATTTGATCCTCACGCATACATTGGATCAGAGTTTTACTGTTCATTAACAGGGAGGTCGGCCAACATCAGCTCCACTGCAGCCGCTGTAGCGAATGCCATGTGGACAGGCCCGTTCACGGCTGAGGGCGAATCAACATATCTGTATGGTTTGGAAATGGGCACTGATCTAGTGTTTGGTGCTCAAACTAGCTGTACGGAAGATGGGAAGTGTACAGGGGTGCCCAACGCCGCTGTCACGCTGTTGTTAGCCTACTTCATCGGTAAAGATCCCGCGATTACTACTACAAAGATATCCTTCAAAGAGTTGGAGAGAGCATACCACTCTTTTAGACAGCAGTATGACGCATATCTGGGGACTGATGACCCAGACCTTTCGTCTTTTCGCAATGCTGGAGGCAAGATGATTACATTCCACGGCTTGGTGAGTTTTTTTTGCCCATCGTCAAATACATTCACGAACCCCATGTAACTATCAGAATGAACTAACACCAGCTTCAGGCCGATCCGCTTATTCCACCGAACAACACCTTGAACTACTACAAGGACGTTCTGAATCAACAAGATGATGCGCAAGACTTCTACAGGTATTTCCCCGTCCCAGGCCTAGGTCACTGCTGGGGAGGCCCCGGCGGTGGCCAACCGACTGCCTTGTTTGATCAGTTGAGGTCTTGGGTCGAGAATGGAACAGCCCCCGAAAGCTCACCAGTCACTATCACCAAGCCGGACAGAACTCATGAGACGCAGGTAGTTTGCCCATTCCCAAAGAAGGCAATCTATAGTGAGACGACACTTGGAGACCCAGCAGGCTGGTCTTGCGTTTGATGGGAAACTTCCTGACTTCATCAGAAGTACCTTAGTAGAAGTGTCCATGTGAATATCTTACAAGATGCATTTCATATCTTGAAACCAGTGTCCAGCTTCTAGGCTGTGAACTGTCTCGCCCGAGCCCGTACTTTTCCCTGATTCAATCTTATACTTAAAGCATACCGAGAAGAGAATGGGCAGTAGTGAGCCCCTGCGGGTACTACAAGTCATAATAATATGCACGTTTGCCCAATGCGGTGAACTTCCCCAGAGGACAAGCCGCGTAGATGGAGGCGATACGGTCCACCGAAGGCAGTGCTAGACAGGGGGCTCGATGCCCCATAGGGCTTTAATTAGTGGCCCTCCCCATTCGTCTTCCTTGAATCAGTCCACCTCCCCAACTTCAATATTCCCCTTTTCTCACTCTCGTAGGAGAGAAAATTTTCAAGAAGCCTCAAAGCACGCCGTTTTTTCCTACACGACACGTTCAGGAGTAACAGCCATCTAGATGCACACCTAGATTTGAGATACAATAACAGTGATGAGCGAACCGGACGCGAAAAGCGCAAAACACGGAGATCCAGGCTGTACGTGTACGACATGCCATATTACGAAGAGGCGATCACATAAGAAGTCCCGGAATGGATGTAAAACCTGTAAGCGAAGAAGAATAAAGGTATGAACTATGATCACAATCCTTCATTCTCATACTAATTCATGCACCAGTGTGATGAGGCCAAACCCCAATGTGGGCAATGTTTGAAAGCTGCCATAGCCTGCGACTTTACTGCTTCATCCTCAATCACAGACATCGTCCCAACTCATGATGAAATTGTCGAGAACGCTTCTCAGGCAACCTCGCGGAGAAGGGGCAGGCCACGGAAAATTTGGGACACAGCACCCATAGGGCCGAGCCCCCAAGAACTCTTCGGATCACCCGATAGCTTGAGATCCAGATCAACCGACACAGCTCTCGTAGTCACCCGAAACGGGGACCAGCAGGCACAAATGGCCCCGGAATTACCTTGGATATGGACTATAGATGATCTCGAGTTGCAACACCATTTCATGACATCTGACGATCTTACGTATTCGAATTCGCGACTCTGGCGTGAGAAGGTCCCCCGTCTTGCCTTCAGCCAGCATCACGTTCTACATCTTCTGCTTGCAGTCTCTGCGCTACACTTGTCCAGAGAGAACCAGGATTCTGCCGTTTCAGCTCGATACGAGCAACTCGCGGATGTTCACTACCACATAGGGCTTCGCCAAGTGATGGCAATCATGCCCACATCAAATAGAGACTACGCTGGAGCACTTTACATATCCACTACGCTTGTTTGTGCATATGCATTCGCAAAGAAGCCCAGCCCAGAACACCTCTTGATAGTTTCAGACGGAGAAGAAGTGGCATGGTTCGAATTGCTCAGAGGCGTTCGGATCGTCGTTACAACGATGGGATGGGATGCCATTTACTCCGGGGTCTTAGGTCCTTTCCCGGCCGACGAGGACGAGAAGTCACTCCCAGAGCCGGGTCCGACAACACGACCAGTCCAATGGGAGCCTGCGTTAAGCAGTCTTGCGGACTTGATATCCAACTCTGGCGACCCAGAAGCCTCCGTCTATCTAGAAATGGTTCAACGTATTTCGTCTTGTTTTGAGATCACATTCGGCACGATGAAGAAGCCAAAACTTGATTGCAACGGCAAGATGGAGGTCATTATCGGTTGCATTTATGGGATCGAGGATGATTTCGTACTTTGTGTGAAACACAAGAGGCCATTTGCACTTCTCATCCTGGCACACTTTGTTGTGCTGCTCAAATCACTCGAATGGATGTGGTACATAAAGGGATGGGCAAGTCACATTCTTCACGGCATCGCACTGATTTTGGGGCCTCAATATAGACAATATCTACGATGGCCAAGAGAGGAGATTGAAAGACTTGGCAACGATCGGGACCGTCTCAATCAGGGACAGTCAGTGTAAAGCTAGTATGGGGCATTGCAATCGGTCTCAATCTTTCCAAGGAGCGGGATTACTCCTTTTACAAAAGAACCTTGTGACCGGGCACACATTCTGATATGAGTTAGCGGGCAATTGATCCGAGGTCAAGTCTGCCCACTTGAAGGACGCTTTTGGACGCCCCGCTTCGTGATTTGACGAAAGTCCCTACTTTGCTGCTCAATTCAATAGTTGGAGTATAAGCGCCGGGCTTTGCAAGACGACTTGATATTCCCTTACATGAAAGCCGCTGCTCGGATCGACCCGGCACAGGTGTCATATTATTTTCTCCAGCAGTTCAGCTTGACAAATACGTTTAGCCCATCTTAGCACTGTTGGAATCCTCCAATCACTCCATATTTCAATCCACCGAAGAGTCTAACATCCTTCCGGGTCTGACTGAGCCACATTGGCACTGCGCCCCCAACTCAGCTACGGCCGAACGTCACCTTCGATTGGGCGACTGCCTCGAGATGGTGTGAGACGTCAGCGTTGGTTTTGAGGATAAATGGGGTCTTTGGAATCCTGAAAGAGCAAAAGCCCCAGGAGCAGACAGGCGGATGTCTTGAATGTACATGTAAGCATGCAACTTTCAGGCAAGATCACTAATTAGAAACTACCAGTGTGACTCTGCGCCCCGAGTTCGTGCTGTCTTGAAATTGGAACTAAAATCTTATGTTTTCCGCACTGCTGTGCTTTGAGTTTGATTCGATCCGAGTTTCGTACATCTATGAATCTGAGAGATCATCCAGTGATCCTTAGACTCTGTCTCGTGAAGTTCGAGGTGCCGTATTCAAACAGCTTGCTGCCTCCAAGTCGATGTGTAACTTTGGGTAATTCCTAAAAAGTTACACTAACTACTCATTAGCTGTGTCTTTTGCTCCCTCCTTTACCTTTGCGTCAAGATCAAGAAAGACTCAACAGCATCGTTTGACCATAGACTGGCCATCATAGCGAGCACTGCTGTCTCAATTTGAGTATTTCTGTCGGGCGTAAAAAACCCAGTTTCTTGTTTCCGAAAATTATAAGACCTTCAAGGTCATTGGTAATCTCGGCAGGCATTGAAGTTCCAAATTCGATCACTCGACGAACAGCAGACGCCTCAGATATTACTTGAAGCCCCAAAAAGTAACCAAACCCAGCAAATCGGCGAGAGTATACAGAAATTTGCAATATGAGCCAGACTGCCACCTCTGAGAGAGAAGCGGGCCCAGTTACGAAGGCCATTCGAGTTGCCATCATTGGCGCTGGTGCTTCTGGTCTGGTCACGGCCAAGTACCTCCGTCAGGCCAGACAGTACTTCGGCGTACCCGATGTCGAGGTCCGTGTCTTTGAGAAGGAGGACGGGGTGGGTGGTGTTTACAAGTACAAGGCCTACGAGGAGGCTGAGGTATGGCAGTCCATTAATTCTTCTTCCCACCATATATCATTCTTGGGGCTGGGGTGTTCCCTTGCATGCAGCATTTCCAAATCCGCGAAATGGCTGACAAGAGTTCCAACCCCTAGATGGTGTCATCAAAGTACCTCACAGCGTTCTCAGACTTTCGTGTCTCAAAAGACCTGCCCGACTTTCTGCCTACAGAGGAATACGTCCGCTACCTCAAGGGCTTCTGCACCCACTTCGATCTCTGGGGTGTTATCGAAACAAAGACCGAGATTCTTCGAGTTTCTCATACTAGTAGTGGCCACCGCGTCTTCTTTCGCCGTATTGAAAGGCTGAGAGCTGCAGACAGGCGAGATGGGGAACAACAAGAAGAGTCATGGGATTGTGATGCCATCGCCATCTGCTCCGGTCTCAACAACGTGCCGTTCATCCCATCCATCGAAGGTCTTGAGAACATGAGTTATCTTCATTCCTCGGAAGTTAAGGAAAGGAGACAGTTTGGGTCGAATACATCCATAATGATCCTAGGTGCAGGGGAAACGGCAATGGATATTGCCCACCTAGCCATAACCTCGGAAGCCCAGGAAGTCGTAATGTGCCATAAAGGCGGGTTCTTCTGCGCAAAGAAGGTAAATGAATCATATCCTGAGCCTGAAAACCAAAAACAAAGCCAAGTGGCCTTACGATTTGGTAGGTCTGGCATACTTCAGCGCTGACTATATTTATAGGTTGTGCCTTTACCAGTCGTCTTGCAGGTTTGGAAGCCGGACCCTCGGCAAAAGCCGGTCGATACAGCAATTGCGAGTTTTCTAGACACTGCATATCTTCCAGAGCGTCTCCAACACTCTAGCCTACTGTGGACCGTGTACGACAAGACGTTCAAGTGCCTGCATTATATCTCCGGCGGAACGGCGGCTGGCCCGGATCAGTGGGTCGGAGAGATTAAGGGCGATCGCAACAATGTTGACTCCTGTGAGTACCTATGGATGAGTATGAATGGCTCAAAGAAGTCTATGGCTGACTTGCGAAGTGTTTCTGGTCAAATCTGATCGCGCTTTACCATATCTTAACGAAGGAAATCGAGCCCAAGACATACTCTCTCGTATAAGAGCTTTTGTGATGAATGTTGAGTTGAAGCCTACAGGGGGTAGAAAGATATTGACGGCACCTTGGCCATCGGCTTTCCGAGAAGACGGCACTGCGGTTTTTGCAGATAGCAAGGAGTGTGAGCACGCTGAGGCGCTGTCACAAGTCGTCAAGCCCAACTTGATCATCGCTGCAACTGGGTACGTGCGTCGATTCGACTTCCTAGAAGACGACTACCCGAAACCCAACGAGTTGGATGTACGTGGGATCTGGAGGCGCGGCGAGGTGACTGCGGGATTTATCGGCTTCGTACGCCCCGGCATTGGTAGGGTCCCCTTGGCTGTTATGGGTGAGAGTCTGTCATACTTACAACATTTCATCAGGTGCAATTCCACCTCTCGCTGAACTGCAAGCCCAACTGTGGGTTCTCGAACTCCTCCGGCACAAGTATCCTCAAGAGATGGCACTGTCTACCGCTGATTCCGACAAAGGAGAGTCGAACAACGCCGTCCCTCACTATGAGGTTGACTATGCCCTCAAGGCTCGAGGCGGACATGACTTGTTTAAGAGTAAGCACGGCGTAGAACAGGAGTCTTATGCTTATCAACTTGCTCTCGATATGGGTAGCGCTCCAACCTTTTCTTTTATGAGACGTCAGGGCTTCAAAGCATTATACACGTGGGCAATGGGATCGAATTTCAATACAAAGTTTCGACTCATCGGACCTTGGAGATGGACAAAGGGCGCTCTCCCAATAATGCGCGGCGAGCTGTTTGATGTTGTCAAGCAAACAGGGGGCGGTGTTTGTAAGTCTACGTCTCAGACTGTGTATTGTATTATACTGAAAACCATCGCTAATTTTCGATCTCAGTCTTCACAACCTACACTCTTCTTCCTCTCTTACTATTTGGCTATCTTACCCTGCTACTCCAGGCAACAGCCGGCATGTTGAGACTGGCGGGAATGAAAGAACGGGCCAACAGGGTTCTGGGCTCAGGGAATATCCCACGTCGCGAAGGCGATGACCTCCAAGAATGAATGGGAGTAATGATTCATTTTGGGTGAAGATCTTGGGTCTACTTTAAAATGATCTCCAGCACTTACCAGATAAGCTTGATGTACTGGACAATGAAGAAGCTTTGTGACGTTTAATGAAAAAGTGAAGACATTGATGTGAAATTGCCTCAATTTAGTTGTGTACCTTTGAGGCTCACAAGAAGTCAGATTTGATGATCGAGTCCCTCTCGTCTTGATCCCTCGTACACTGGAATTTACACGGAGGGGCTCCGACCAGATGTTTCAGCGGCTGGATGATCTCAAGTGCCCCGCGCGGGGTACCTGGACGGCCTGTTGTTCTCAGTTCCTCAGGGACCAACTGCAAGCCGTTGATTGGTCGCGCCTAATTTTTCCGATAACGATAAGACCAATTGATGCTTCACCCAAAAAACTTTTTTTCTTTCTTGCGACTGCTTCGCCTGGACGAATCTTTACCCCGGCAAAGTCTACCCAGTCGCAACCATGCACCACCTCGTCCAATCGCACCAATGGGTATCTCTGAAGCTGCTTTCAGAAGATACGAAGGTGCTGCAGATTGTTCCCAATACGTATGTTCACGAAGCAAACGTCTGGTGTGACGACAGCTAACTCTTTTTCCCTTGCTTCAAGGACGGTTTCCCTGGGTAAACTCGGCTCGTTCCCCAGCAACCTCGTCCTTGAGCGGCCATTCCACATCACCTACGAGATCCAAGATAGACGCGATGGCGAGAACTTCAACAGACTGCGCGTCGTCCCTACGAGCGAGATTCATGCCGATGCCCTGGCCGATTTGAACGCCCAAAACGCCGAGGAGGAGGGCACCGCCCTCGAGAATGTCATCGCTGCCCCCGATGGCGCAGAATTCGAATTGGTGGACCAGGAGAGTGGCGATGTCGTTGCGCACTCACGCCGCGAGATTATTGACGATGCCGCCCGCCAGACTCTGACCGCCGAGGAGATTGAGCAGCTGAAGCAGGGTAACACAGATGCCGGCAAGGAGATCATTGCGAAGCTACTACTGTCGCATACCGCAATCGACCAGAAGACGGCCTTCTCCCTTGCCAAGTACAAGTTGCTCAAGACCAAGAAGTATATTCGACGCTTCATGATACAACCGCTTGACCCTCTCACGCTGGGCAAGTGGCTCTTGGAAGAGAAGGATGCTGGAAAGGTGCTGGAGATGAGGGAGGAGATGATGGGCCTCTTGAACTCGTGGGCCAATGTCCACTTCGGCGGCGCATCTCCTGTGGACAAGCCCGAGACTGTGACGATCGATGGTTCTGGAATGCTGGACAAGTCCGAGATTGGCGGTCGCTGGCTTGTGGTGGAGGACACGGGAGGTCTCGTCACCGCGGCCATGGCCGAGAGGATGGGCATATTATACCCCAAGGACCCCGAGGACGTTGAAGAGATGGAAGAAGACACGAACGGAGTCAAGCCAGCAGAGGACACTACCACCGCCATCGATGATGCTGCGGTAGAACAGGCACAGGAGACAAGCACAGAGGCTACAGCACAAGACTGGACAACAAAGCCCGAGGAGATCACAGCTGATGCCACAGTGGCAAACAATGGCGAGACAACAAAGCCGCAACCACCTCGACGAAGACACCCGCCCCGTCGCGACGATTATGAAGCCATGTTCGCCCCGACCAACACCCTAACGCTCATCCACCCCAACAGCCAGCCGAACCTCGCCCTTCTCAAATACTACAACTTTGACAGCACAAATCCCAACCCGCCTTTCCCCCTTCACCCGCTCGCCACCAACCTCTTGCCCATTTCCTGGCTGCAACTCTTGGAGCCCGAGGAGGACGTCACATACTCAACACCGCCCCCGAGGTCTCGGACGAAGAGCTGCACTCATGGAAGGCTAATCGCCGCGGCAACTACCACCGGAAGCGAAGACGTTGGGCGAGAACCCGCTACATTGTGGACTCGACGCGCGCTGGTGGTTTCTCTGGGCTCGTCATCGCCAGCACGATGGATACCATGTCCATCCTGCGCCACACCTTGCCGCTCCTGGCCGGCGGAGCGCCGATTGCCGTCTACTCGCAAAGCATCGAGCCGTTGACGGAACTTGCCGATTGCTTCAGTATTGCCCGCCGCGCAGGCTGGTCGTCAAATCCTCCGGCCGAGGCGGCTGGCAAGTCTGTCCAGGAGCTGGAGCGATGGGAGGGATCGGACGATTTCCCCATCAACCCGACTCTGCTCTTGGGTGCCAATGTGCAGACGAGCCGCGCAAAGCGCTGGCAAGTTCTGCCTGGCCGCACGCACCCCATGATGATGGGGCGTGGCGGGGCGGATGGCTACGTCTTCACGGGTTGGAAGGCAGTGCCGGCGGAGGGCAAGGTCGAGGCCAGAGGCAAGTTCAAGAGGAGAAAGGTTGAAGCATGAATAGAGTAAGGGTGTTTTTAGCTAGACACCGACGCAGCGTGGGATGACAGTCGAGAGAGAGAGCACGGAAGAGAAAAGGAAACCTCGGGCATCAGAAGGTTTGCATATAGATACCCTAGCATCCTCCCATTGAATCTTGTCGGGCTGTGATTGGAGTAATTGGCATCATCATATTAGCCTGGCTTATTCGCTCAAACATTTTCCCAACTAAGGTATTCCCTTGTCTCTGGCGATTCTTTTTCGACGACCCGCATCACAACGCCTTGCCCATGAACTTTCTCTTGGTAAAGCTTAACCACCACTTGCTCGGCTTTCCATCGCCGCCTTCTTCATACACCCGTGCCAGTAATCGGGCTGCCAGCTCTTGGCGAACTTGAGCCATGTACTGGCGGAGTTGCTCGGCGTCTTGTCTGTCGCGCGGGGGCTCGTACATCTGTGTCCTGGTCAGTCTCTAGAACTTCCACTGAACCTCGGAGGACGATCGTACCTGGTTCAGGGGCCACGCCGGGTCGCCGGGAATGGCAAAGTTAGTATCGAGGGCCACGTTCATGACATCCTTGGAAGCATCACGCACGCCGGCACTAGGCTTGATCTTGGTCAGACAATCGCTGACGAACCAGATGCCGTAGACCAGCAGGCGGTCAGCCGGGCCTTGGAGCTCGAAATTGCGGAAGAAGGTGTTGGCGCGGAAAAGGGCGAGGACCTCGTCGAGGATGTCGTAGCTTTCGCTGTCTGGATCGGGAGACTCATTGGCGGGCAGAGGCGGGTTGGGGAAGGGCAGAGTATAGGCCGGACCGCGGGTCTTCGTGCGCAGGGGCAGCAGCGGGAAGTTGCCTATTGTGCGAGGGACGTTTGGGTCGGCATTGAACATGGAGTTGTAGGCCTGGGTAGAGGGCATCGTCAGCTCGGTTTAGGCGGGCTGGGGAGTAGTTTGGGTTGGGCTGTGCCAGAGCCTCGGAGAAAGAACTCAAGTAAGCCAAGTGAGGAGCATTGCACAGACATACCGGCATATTGAAGTGTATTCCTGGCCAAGCGATTGGTCTCGTAGGGTTGAAGCTGGTCTTGATGAGGATTGGTCGCCAATGCAGTTGAGAGACGTCAACTGAAGATGGAGAGCAAGCGGCCGATGGTGGGGCGCGACACTTAGCTGACGGGAGGCACTGACGTCCACCTCACAGGCTCACACTGCCACTCTCCAAGTCTCCAGCACTCTCCTGGAGTCCTGAGGCTTGACGAGGTCCTTCAGCCTCACGTTGAATGGTGGGGTTGATTAGCTGTGGCGCAGCAACTGTGCTGCACGTGCCTAGATACCTTGAGAAGTTGGAGTCACGAGGAAACAAGTCACGAGTTTGCTTTTGAGCTTTGATGACTCAGGCATCAATGAGCCCATGCGCAGCCACAGAATCGCTGACATGGCCCTACCCAGTACGTACTGTTGGATGGGGGCTGGTGCCTAGGATCACATGACTTCGCACTCTCCGCGTGTCGCAGTTTCCCGGTTGCAAGCGGGCCAAGAGTCCCAGGCAGTGGCAAGTCGCGCCCTTCTTTCCTCCCAAAGAGGTGTGAAGCCGAAAAGATGCGCGTGTTCTGGGTCTTTTTTGTTGGCCGAGGCTTGCAGGTTGGCGGCGGCGCGGTGGATGAGGAAGGAGGAGTTGTAGGTGGGCAATACCTGCCGTCGGTAGACTCATAGAGCAGGCAGGCCGCAGGCACTGGAAGGCACCATCGCGATGGCGACGGGGAACCTGGAAGGTACTGACAAAAAGGACTGTCGTGACGGGTCGATAAGTCTGCACCTGCCCAGTTTTTGCCGCCACACGACGGTAGCCATTAGGTAGTACTCACACACTGAACAAGACGGGAATGGGGTCTGGCACACACACACACTCCGGGTTTACACACAGGCGAAAAGTGACAGCGCAACAGCCAGGAAAATCGATGAACAAAAGTTGGAAATATTTGACTCGCGCACCCGCGTTTCATTCCCTTATCCCCTCGTCCCGCCTTGTTCACCTTGCTCTCTCTTCTCTCTCTAAGTCTTGTGTCTCTCCACCACACCAGGCGCGTCATATTCGTCAACAACAAATCCGTTTTTCCTTGACGGAGTACCGTCCTCATAGACAGTAGCCCAAACATCCCGACATCCCTCTCATATCCTTTCTTTTTCCTCTGCCTCGTGTGCCGACAGTGACGCTTAAGCCTCAAACCCTTGAAAGCTCTGTCGATCTCAACAGATTCTAGACATATCGGTACCCAGTCACAGAGCACCACTTCTCTGACCGTACATCAAACTGCATACGGATATTCTCCGATCTCTCTCTGCGGATCCGGGTCCTCTTTTCTCTCACTCAACACCACGTCGCGCGCCCAGTTGCGACGACTACTGTCCGCCTCACCGAGTCCATCATAATCCACCGGCCATCATCCACCGTTATTCCACACCCCCAAGTGAAAGGAGGGGCGCCAAACCATCTTCCCGCCGTCGCGTCGGTGCTCCAGGGCTCCAAGCTCAAGATTCAACCCGACACTGGGCCCGCGGCGCAACGCAAAGGCCCCCCCTAAAAACAAATACTACTTAAAAGAACGAAAGGGAGAGCGCCACAACCCGATGCCCATTTTAGAGTGAGACCCCCCAATCACTATTCCTTTATTGTCACAACCTCGTTGTTTTCATTCCATCCCCCCTCGTGCCCTCTTGCCCAATTATAGATTCCACCTTCATTCCTCTTTACCAAGACCCGGACAATGTTGACAAAACCACAGATCAGTATTCAATAACAACAGTTTCGCACGACAACTGCGCAACTTCTTCGACTCCTCCACCGCCGACATGCATCTCCCCAGCAGCGCCCCGACGGCTTCGTCAATGTCCTCGCCCGAGCCCATTCACGCGACGCCCCCGACCTCGAGTCCCATTCCTGCTATGCCCTCCCCCGCCAAGCGCAAAAGAAGACTTCGTGTCTTTCGGCCAGACAAAGGTTCCCTCTACGACAAGATGTGGGATTATGCTGGACTCTCCCTTTTCGTTCGTCCCATCTGCTGGACCGAGCTGCACGTACAACTCCTCGACGCCAAGTTCGTTGAGCTCCCTCCGTGTGACACGCCAGTTCCTCCTCCTTCACCGCGCGGGGCCCCTGTCTCCCCGTCGAGATGTCACATGAAACCATCAGTCGCGGCCTCGACACTAAGCAGAGAACTTACGGCCATGCTCGCGCCGGGATCCACGAGGACCTTCTACACAAACTCCGTCCGCACAATCATGTCTACCCTCTATCCGGGGAAGCTGTCGCGCACCCGAACACAGCTTGATTTGCACCTCTACTTTGGCGGTCTAGTGTATCGCGATGCATGCCGCGTACAGGTTGCCTGGGATGAAATGCCCTCGCGCAGCGGCTCGATCGCCTCCTTTGACTCCGCATCAACCCGCCCGGCCGAATCCTTTACTATTGTGCCGGCGGGTTCCAACGGTAGCGCAAGCAACATGAGCAGCGAACAAACAGCCTCCGTTCAGTCGCAGCCCGTCCTCGCGTATGTTGGCAAGATGCAGATCGCGGCAACACGAAAGAACATGTACCGCGTTATTCAAGGACCCAACAGATCGTACAACGGACCGGTCGAACGTCTACAACAACTACGCTCCAAAATGTTCGTTCCCAGCAATCCGACGCATGACCCGTTGCTTGTGGGCATCTTGTTGGCCATGGCGCAAAGAAGGTTCCACGGCGAGCCACAGCCGTCGGCGAATAAGTGGGTTCCCTCGCGACCCATGTCTACTGGGCCAGGAGAGCCCGAGTTTCACGATGTGACGGTGCAACTGCTCACAAACGACAACGAGACCTCCGAATTCATCGTTTACAAGGCTACGGTCACAGCAGATCTGCTCCGCAAGTTCCACGAGCCAACCAAGAATCCTCGCGTAGGGACCGAGAGGACACTCGCTGAGAGAATCGGAGAGGTTGCGGATGCGGGTGGCATGCGCATCGAATACACAAAAGTGCCTGTCTGGCCAATTCTCGGACTCAAGGAAAGGCTGGGCAAGGCGCTCGGCAAGGAGGTTGTGGGAGACTTCGATGAGGACAATATCGAGACATGGGAGGAGGAAGCGGAGCGAAACCCGGACAAGCTCAAAAGAAGAAGAGATCGTGAGGCTCTCGTCGAAGTGTTTAATGGCAGCTTTGAGGAAGAGGCTCAAGCCGACGGTATGCCTCTCAGTGGGAAACGAAGATGTTTAGTTGACGAGGAAAGCGGGCAGGTGGGCATGGTCGTCTGACGGAAGTTCAATGCCCGTAATCATTGCATAACGAAGCCACGAGGCGTTTTTGAGAGAAGCATTCATCGCATTTCTTTGAGGCCGCTGCGGATGCGGCCACCGCATGGAGAACATGGATTTCACTCTTTTTTATCGAGTAAATGGAGTTATGAGATGTCAGCGGTGAGAATTATGGCCGACTCCTGGCACGGATAGACGAGAAACATTGTGAACCCGGCAACGGTCAGAGTCATGATGGTGTTCTTCTTTTTCAACCCCTTTTCATATGGAGATTCAAGTAGGAAGGGGTAGGTCTGCGATATATTCGAACGGCTGCATGGGTTGTTTGGCATTGAGAAAGAAGACTTAACGTTAGATTCTCCGACACGAGCTCAGAGTCCAGTCGACTCCGCTAGTGTCAGCGATCAGTGCTTTCCAATAAAACTAGTTTTCGAGCACACGAAGCCCCATTGCCCAGCGATCACGATATTATCTAAAATAGTGACAAGAAAAGAGCCGTGATTTTTCAGAGTCAGGTACGTTATCAAACTAATATCCTACAAAAGATCCATTGTGATCAATTTATGTAATCCAATCAAGATCACTCCTCTTCAGGCGTATCATTGCGTCGACTATTTGGTTCTCACGCAGGACTGGGGGTAGCAACGCCTACTCGATCCACTTGAGTAGCGGTATCATTGTCTCACTCGGTACCACAGCCTGACAGTCTGTGCCTGCTTACAGCCTCGAAATATGTGTCATCGCCAACCTCCCCCGGCCCCCCGGTATGTAGCGGATGCTGCCGGGAGCCAAGCCAGATGCCTTTTCTTTCCTCCTGTCACCGCGGGCTAGTCCCCCCGCACCTTCTATATTCGCCTGGAGCTATTGGATCCTTGACACCTTCACGTGCTTGAAACTCCACAGATGGGCGCGGTAGGACGAGTCGTTGTTCACACTCAACTTGGAGTATTGTGTGAAAGCCGAAATTCAAGACGGGAGCGCCGTTTGATGCGAGCGGTCTCCGAGGCCATGTTGTGCGCGTACGAGATGAGGAAGGGATTGGGAGAAGAAGTTGACTTCCTCCTCTCCTTCGGCCGAGATAATATCCTCCCGAGTTTGCCTCGACCTCTTCCCTATAAGTATAACTCACATTGTTACACATGGCTACGTTTTCTTTCAGCTCTCATTCTTGGCCATAGTGTCGCTCTACTATTCTCTCCTTTCACCTCGCTCTCTCATAGTGATCTAGCACACGATGAAGGCTTCTCTGAAATCAGCTCTGGCTGTCGTTCTCATCCTAGCTGGTCGGTCAGCGGGCAACCCTAAACATCACCACTACGAAGTCCGTGCTGCTCCAGCTACAGTAGATGCCCCCGCCGGCATCCTCGTCGGACGATCGGTTGGCTCCGTCGAGACTTTCTCTGGCATACCCTATGCAGAACCGCCCATCGGCCCGCTTCGGTTGAGACCGCCTCAAAGACTCAACTCCTCCTTGGGTAACTTTGATGCCACAGAGAACGCAGCCGCATGCCCTCAGTTTCTCTTGTCCACCGACAGCCGGAACATTCTTCTTGATGTTGTTGGTTCATTCCTTACACTACCGTTCTTCCAACCCATCACCGGCCAAGAAGACTGCTTGACAGTGACAATTCAGCGTCCGTCCGGCACACCATCTGATGCGAAACTTCCAGTCCTGTTTTGGATATTTGGGGGTGGCTTCGAGTTCGGCTCGACATCTATATACAGCGGGGCAAGTTTTGTCCGCGATGGAGCCGACATGGACCGTCCCTTCATCTTTGTTGGCGTCAACTATCGACTGGGAGGCTTTGGGTTCTTGCCTGGCCATGAAATCCTGAAAGATGGCGCAGCCAACTTGGGACTGTTGGATCAACGTCAGGCTTTAGAATGGGTTGCCCAAAACATCGCTGCCTTTGGAGGCGACCCTGACAAAGTGACAATCTGGGGCGAATCAGCGGGCGCGATATCTGTTTTCGACCAGATGGCACTGTATGACGGCAACAACTCTTACCAGGGTCGACCACTGTTTCGAGGAGCCATCATGAACTCTGGCAGTGTTATCCCAGCTGATTCAGTTGACTGTCCCAAAGGCCAGAGAGTCTATGATGCTGTCGTGAAGTCAGCTGGTTGTGAAGGATCGGCCAGTACCCTGGATTGCCTGCGCAGCGTCGATTACGAAACATATATGCGTGCCGCAACGGCGGTACCAGGCATCCTTTCATACGAAGCTCTTGCTCTGTCCTATGTTCCTAGACCAGACGGCACAGCACTGGTAGACAGCCCTGACATCCAGGCAAAAGAAGGACGCTACGCCGCGGTGCCTATGATCATCGGCAATCAAGAAGATGAGGGGACGTTATTCGCACTCTTCCAGCCTTTGGTGTGGACAGCGTCACAACTGGTCAACTATCTGTCAGAGTTGTACTTCCACAACGCCTCAAAAGCCCAGTTGACCACCCTCGTCAGCACTTATGACAGTCGTAATTCGGCAGGAAGTCCCTTTCGGACGGGGATCTTCGAGATCTATCCTGGATTCAAGCGTAGGGCTGCCATCCTTGGAGACCTCGTCTTCACTCTGGCGCGCCGCTCGTTTCTATCTGTAGCCAAAGAAAAGCACCCGGACGTCCCAGCTTGGTCGTATTTGAGCAGTTACAATTACGGCACTCCCGTGCTCGGTACATTCCACGCTTCGGATATACTGCAGGTGTTTCTCGGGGTCTTTCCTACCTTTGCGCGGCAAAGCACTCGTTCTTACTATCTCAACTTCCTCTACAACTTGGATCCTAATGTTGGATTGGGCGGTTACGCGCAATGGCCGGAATGGAGTCAGGACCAGCGACTACTCTGGTTTATGAGCGATCGAACAGAATACCTCAAAGATGACTTTCGAAACGAGAGCTACAAGTTCATCTACAACAATATGCAGTCTTTGAACTTCCGGGATGACTTGGATGTACTACCGCGGTGGTCTCTTTGAAACATAATGTATTCACACGAAGGCCGCAGGTAGTAAGACACATAAGGGGTGGTCGGCCTGTTTCTTCTTCTTCTTTGACGGAGTTCTTCTATCGAAAGTGAAAGGGGTATTGCCAACGCTAAACTATGTACGTAAATGAAGATATGTATCTGGACAATAACTGTTAACTGGATCTGGCTCCGGCGACCCTAACATGATTTGCTTCAAGTTTTCGTTAGTGGTGAAGTAAGAGTTGAGCGGGAATGAATAGTTCACCTTTGAAAAGACATCAGCTTGACGGATGCCCATCTCCTCCGCAATCTTTGCGAGCCGGGCTTTCACGTAGCTCCGTTGCTTCCTAGTCGCGAAACGACTCGATCCAGTGGCCAACAAAGGCCACATGCAAGATACACCAGCTAAGCCTTTGGGCATCTCGGATGTCCCGCATGGGAAGTATGGAGTACTCAGAGCATCACCAGTCCAACCGAAAAAGTACGGAGTGCTCGAGATAATGTCCGCCACTTGCTCAGTTCCGATACGATTGGCGTCAATGTACTCCTTCGTCAGAGTATGATCGCTCGGTGCGCATACCCACGCGATACAACGAACGATGACCTGGTTGAGGAGAAGTCGAGACACATGGGTATTGATATGCTTTCCAGCTGCCCATACGTTCGGGTAGTCGTAAATGGGTCCCGGAAATGCTGAAACGTAGCCGATCTTGTCCTCGGGAACATCTGCAGCGGATCCTGAGATGACTTTTCTCCAAGCTGGCGGACACTTGTCGAACCACACACCAAGGTCGTCGTCCATTTTCCGCGCCCTCTGCAGAAGCTTCAAAGCTTTGTCAATCTTGTCGGTAGTCCGTGCTCCCTTCAGGAGACTGTCGGCCTCGCCACGGATGAGTGTCGTCTGGAGATTTAATACTAAAGCTTGGTGGCCAACCGTATCGCAGACTGCTTGCCGTGCCCACCAAGTCAAATCTTCCAAAGAAATGTTTGCAAAGAAGGTGTACTGCCGGACCTGTTTTGCGCGTTAGATCACCGGTTCTTGACACAACATTCTGTTTGTAATGAAGGGAAAATGACGTACCGATGTCGCCCGAACGAATTCAAACATGCTCAAGCCTACGCCGGATGTTGTCTGTTGCGGTCCTCGTAGCTTGACTATCGCAGTTGCCCCAGAAATGTGCTTCTTGAACCCAGACATTTCAACGTCATCTGAGACCAGTCCTTCGTAAAAGGCCAACAGGATTGCCGAGGCAAGCGTGGTATCCTGCCTTACAGCTATTTTATCTTGCATAGCTCGAGTCAAGTCTTCTAGCGCTTTGCTGTAGTGTAGATGAGCCATCGAGGACAATCTTCGCGAGTTTGGTCTACCAGCCAGAGCGGCCATGGATACTGCTGAGAAGGCCGATTGCAAAGGAGAAGCTTGGTAGCTGGGCATATTCAGTAGTGGTAATACGAATGTGAGAATCCCTCTACCAACTCCCGTCGGTGGAGCCAGCACGTAGTTTGCCAAGAAGTAGCATGTTGCTTGTTGGTCGAGAGGTGTTTGTAAGGTGTGCGGCATGCCATATGTTCCCCCTTCAATGTCCTTGAATGATACGAAGGTGTCGGGCGCCTGATTGCTGATATACGACAAAGAAGAGGCGTATGACATTGAAGGCGACGCTTCAGAAGAAGACGAGTTTGAGTACCTGTCAAACCAGTCGTCTTCTGTGATTGGAATAATTTGCTGTTTTCGCGGAGGTGGTGCTGCTGGCTGTGTCCATTCCATCATCTGTGGTTGGGTTTGGCATTCGTTTTCCGCATCCTGTTCCGTCGCGCGACCCTCTCGGATAGCCTTGCGCAACGCAGCCGACTTGGCTTTGCGGATGGTTGACTGAGTCTCATCGCGGAGATTGATTTCGAATGCATCTCGATAGCCTGGGCAGACTCTTTTCGACTTGGCGCATTTGAGGCAAAAGGGCTTTGTCTCGTCACACTTGATCCTCCTCGCGCGGCAGAGCTTGCATGCCCTGCTCGGGTGACCCGTGTTGACCATCGTTGACATGCAGCTGATCTAATGGTACGGTAGTACTGTTGGTTTCCTTTCCTCGAATAGTGTGTCCTATGCGCGCGATCCACGGCCAGTTGACGGTTCAGGTTTCGACGGGGTTTGTGTCATGTGGTCGAAACCCCCTATCCAAGTAGGAAATCCGAGGAGGAATGAGAGGGGCGGACGTGCCTCCCTAAGACATAAAAGGAAAATGGACAGACAGGACCGGACTCGTGTCAGACGCGGCCGAGGGCGGCTGTTGATGAACGTCGAGAACAGACTGCAGACGGTTGACACAAGATGGAAGAAGCCGCACAAGGAAGTTGATATGTTTCAACTCTAAAACCCGCCCCGCTTGCTTTGGTGACATTCAGCAGCGCTGCTAGTTACAAAGCATCTAGCTCAGAAGATGACGTTGCGAGTCAGGGTAAGGGAGGATGGATTACCGTAGAATGGGAGACGGAGAACGATGCTCCTTCAAGAGATGTCAGCCGCTCTGGGGGGAGGGTGGCCTATTGCACAAGTCTGTTCGGCCAACCGTCAAACCCGACAGTTGAACCTTGGATAGAACCTGTCAGCACATGTCGGCATGCCTCCCCGTCGGCGGCTTGAGCGAGTGCGAATTGTTGTTGTCAAGATGCGCAGCAGTAATATCAGACGAAACGGTTAGTCCAAGCGTCACTGCAACTGAAAGAGTGAAACCGGAACTCCATGCGAAGACAACTGGAGTTTCTGAAACCTAGTCACCTATCATTTGACGCATGAGAGTACCCGAATAGGTCTGGCGCCGTTCTTGTCCCCGTCTTCTAGAAGCCTACCGGTTTAGACAGGCCATCTTGGTAGCTCTCAGAGCATCTGCTTCTAGCCAAGAAGTCTTCAAATGGAGATGACTGGGGGATCTTTTGCCGGTACACATTAACTTACAAAATTATATTCTATTTATGTCTCTGATTGTTTCTTGCTTGCCGAATCTGCCAGTCGCTGTCATCATGTGGACCCGTGCGACTTTCACAAGGCTCAATGGAGCATGGCCCAAGACGTGCCTGGCAGAATGACACCACAATAGCAATGAGCTCAGTCTGAAAACTTGAGGGTTAGATCTGGAACTCGAACTCAGCTCTTGCTTGCTCCAGAAAGGGAAAGTCCACTCATCTGACGAAGATAATAACCCCGAACAAGAAAACCGTCGGATGGTTTGGAGGGGCAGAAGCTCTGTGTGCCGCCCACGCTGCCCCGAATACGGCTCACATGTCATGGTCTTTTCTCGGCATTCTCGTACAAACCCGACGGATAGAAGAGTGTTCATTTCGCTCCCAGCAGCGAGTTCCCAGTCACTCCAGTCTTTGCAGGCTGAAGCCGTCGTCTGATAGACCGAACTGACGCGTTCACCCGTGAGTCTGGTTTCTTTCCTGACATGACGTGACAGCTTGCACAACATCCTCGGTCTCGGTATCTCTCTCTGTAATTGCCGAACTGAGTCTTTGATGAGAATCCGGATGGGTGGAACACCTATTGGAGTGGTGTTCTGCCAGGCCTCAGGATTCTCATCCCAACGCACTTCCATCGATGCCAGAATCTTTCTACGAGGACAATAGCAGAACATCTCCAGTCTCAACCAGTACTGCACGAAAGAGATGATTGGTGCTGTAATTCGACAAAGACACATGTACTAAAACAATGCACTGACGGGATCACTAGAACTCTGAGCACGCGAAACGTGATGCATCGGGCTCAATTATCTTCTTCATCATGCTTGAGAGGCCATCATCGACATTCCAGCCGAACGCGGCACCACTACTATGCCAGACACAAATAGGTGGCTGTGCACTAATTGTACCAGCTGCTACGCGCAATCGGAATCATCCGCCTTTGAGACCAGACTCAGTTCCGCACGGACCAGGGAGCAATGGCCATTTTCTCTACTCCGTACACGTCTCCAGACTTCCACGAAAACACACGAAACAAGAAAATGAAGATCGTCAAGTCAAGCAAATACACAATGTTGGCGTTGAAGCGAGGGCTCTGTGCTAAAGGAAAGAAGACATAAGGGATCAATTGTCGAGGAAACGGCAGAAAAGACTGGTCGTTCCGTCGGAATCTCTTACTGATCTTCAACGCCGCCCGTAACGGCACATTTCGTCCGCTGACTCGAGTATCAGATGCCCATTCTCGAAACCCGAATCGCAGAGAATGGTAGACAGAGTGAGCCGCTTCAGCCGTAGCTGCTCTACAAGTAGCCGGAATTCGGATCAGAGGAGCGGACTTGCGATCGGCCGACAGCCCACGCAACTGGCAGACGTCGAGCACTGACATGGTGCAGTTTTCCCCAGGAATGACCAAGCAAAGACGCGATTTAGCCGCGGGGAGTCCTACGTAGAAAGGTCCGGGAAGTGAGTGAGGGACTGGGTTATGCCTGGCAAACGAGCAGCGCGGGGCAGGCTCTCCTTTCCTTGAGTTTTACTATTAGCTTCCCACCGGCAGAACAGGCGTATCAACTCCAGATTTCAGCTCATGTCGCTGAGTCCGATGTGCACAGTCTTCAAAAGTTGGGGTCATTGCCCGCGGATACGCTAAGGAATTGAGAATAAAACGTTGTTAGCACTGTTAGGTAAGGGAGGTGAGCATTATCAAGTCCGAAGTCCGACTCCGTTACCCGCGGCCCTGGAAACATTTTTAAAGTATCGCAGTACGAAACCAACAGGGGCTGCCGTGCGACATTTGCCAGGGTCAGGGGGACTCAATGGATGATCATATACCTAGCTGAGCAGCCTCCGCCAGTACACGTGTACAAGCAAGCGTTTTCCTTACCGGCAGTTGGTGCAATGACCACATCGCGATCTGCAGCCGGCACGATTTAAGCTTGATGCTGGTTCAAGGCAGATCGACGCAGGCATAGTATCGCGATCCTCTTGTCAGCGGGCAGGGACTCGATCTCCGCCCTAGTAGAGAGTTGTTAGGTTACCGAGACCGATGCTGTCTACTGAGACTTATAATCTTGAAGCCAACTCTCCGGCCGTATGGTCGATCATGCGGCCGAGATGGAATTTCAGACACCTCCGAAGCTCCCATGAATCTTGGTCACCACCATCTAACGCTACAGCTTTGCGGGAGGCGGGAAGATCATCGAGGCCGATGCGCCTGTCAATCATCGCGGGAAGAGGAGACGCTGTCAAGCAGAAAATCTTCTCTCGCAAGCTCAGACATCTTGACACAGCACACCCACAGGATAGACACCTACCTGAATAAACTCCTCTTACATCCACAGACTGATCAGTGCTTGCATTTTCTGTGTCTGTCAAGTGAGTGAGCCAAGCTCGCCCCAGTCTGACACATGGAAACTGCTCGCCGGAATGACGGACCGTACAGCAAGAAGAAACGAAGTGTTGTAAGAAACGTGGAAGTTCCTCCCGGAAGTCATGATAAGATTATGTTGTATTGAAATTACCAAAATAGTGCGCATGCAAGATATCCAGGCAAGGGTTCACTATTTCCAGCCAGCACGGAAGCTCGAGATGGAAAATCAGCCGCAGCAGCAGGTCAGACTCGCATTGCTCGCATCTTCGAACGGCGCAGAGAGATGGTGGGATGATTAACGGAAGAGATATTCATGGCAGCCAGTTGCCTTATTGGGCTGATAGACCCATCAGGATGGGTCACAGTTGGGTGCATGTTTTGGGACGCGAACAGACAGCCCAGGCAGGCTGGACACGTACAAGAGATAGCAAAAGACAGGCGGCGACAAGCAGCGACAGGCAGCGACAGGCAAGACAGGTATAAAAGACGGGATGAAAAGGTCATCTTCTCTGCTGAGTTGCCTAGTTGGGGCCAACTCTTTGCGATGAGAACACCGCCTTCTCGTCCCAAAAGGGTAATGGTTCGCTGTTCCCCAACGGCGCCTGAAACGAACTTCCTCCTACCACTTACCCTCTCGGGCAAGTGGGTGGGAAGTCTACAAACACACCTCAATACTATCCTAGTACCGGCCCGCTAGTGAAAACTCGTCCAACGTCGCAGTGATTCATTCGTGAGTGCTCGGCAGAGGAGTCTGTAGAAGGGAAGAGGAGGAGAAAGGGGCGAGGAGGATGGAGCGCAGAGGCAGTATGGTTGGGATGAGTTGCGGCGAAGCTGATTCTAATAAGGGTCTCGCTGGCGCCAAATATCTCTTCCAATTCTTAGTTCTCCTTTTTCGAAAAAGAAAACGTGAAAAAGTGTTACATCGTTGAACGAAGGGACACTACACTGCATCGAGATACCCCAGCAACTTGCTTTCTGCTTTTGAAGAGTCGAATACCCGGTGGACGAAGCGCACCTAATGACTATATCGAATCTAATCATCCAGCACAGCCTTTCGTCATAACTACCACGTCTCAAGAATCGAAAAACTCGGGCTCTCGTTCATTGACGACCCCAATCTGCGTACGCCTCGCCTTTGGCCGTCATCAGCCTTACTGCCCTACTGCCCTATCTGGGCATGCCCATCGCGGCACTCTTCAAGTCCGGAATTCCGCAGCACGTCGTCAGTCTTTCCTAACACAGACTGCCCACTCTCTTGGTCGGTCTACTACCACTAGAGGCCCGCTTGCCTATTACATACATGCAGTTCGTCACTATATGAGCCGCAATGCAACCTGGGAGTCTTTCCTCCTCGACCATTGACTCAAGTCCGTATACGGTTTCTTACACATAGGGACTCACCTGAGACTGTCTATCCATACTTGGTTGTTTCCTATCTGGCCTGTTCCCCCCTCTCAACATCTCTCAACGCTGGCTGTCTCCACAAGCCGACTTCCCGTCCGTACCCCTGACCCGGCAGGGCTCGAGCAAAAGAGGCAGCGTGCCTCACTTCTAAAAGCAGTCATGGCCGGTCTTGTTGGTTTTCTGTCTGCCGCTGCTCCTCTCATATCTTTCAACTTCGTGGCCGCAGAGGGAGTTGTCAAGGCGGCACAGGCTTCTACATCACCAGCACTTCAACTAGCACAGGTGGCAGCATCCGTACCAAAGCCAGCAGCAACACCGTTATCATTAACACCAATCTCAAACCCACGGAGACCTGCCGCGCCGGCCGTAGCACTAGCAACTTTGGCTTCCCAAAACCCCTCGATAGCGAAAGCGGGTGTACCGTCAGTTGCTGGCCAGCTTCAACCTCCACAAGTAATTGTTGAAACGAATTACATCGTTTACACTCAGGTCAGAACTGCTGCGCCGTCATATATCACTGTCACACAGACGGTACGACCGCCGTCACCTCCTCTACCACCACCGCCACCACCTGTCAGACCACCGCCTCCCCCAAAGCAAGCACTTCCGCCGTCTCCTCCTAAGCAAGTACAGCCTCTGTCTCCGCCGAAGCAAGTCCAGCCTTCATCACCACCCAAGCAAGTTCAACCTCCTTTACCGCCTAACCAGGTTCAACCTCCTACACCCCCAAAGCAGGTCCAGCCTCTATCGCCGCCGAAGCAAGTTCAACCTTCAGCGCCACCAAAACAAGGAGAACCACCGAGACTTCCATTTCCGCCTCCTCCTGCGGCTAAAAGTCAAGCACCTAATGCAGTGCCTCTTGTGATCCCCGCCCCGTTAGTTATACCCGCACCACTAGTATTACCATCAACACCAACACCGAAGACGACGCCACAGCTGGCAGCTACTTCACCTTCACCGCAGCCGCCTCCACCAGCAGTAGCACCTCCAGCAACGACACTTCTAAGCATCTCAAACTCATCGCCACCGCCGCCAGTCCTCAACCCTATCATGAGTGCTCAGGGACCAGAGAGGGGAGGCATACCTAATCCGACCCTCAATCCGCAAGCCCAGACTGGTCCACCAGGTGGTCCTCCTATGGGGCCTCCTGACCCGGCCAATGGTGCGTTCCCAGGTGGTATACCGAACAAGAACGTTGATTTGCCGGTTACCATCATGTTTATGGTGCTATTCATGCTTGGTGCGTACGTGCACTTGAGCATCTACCGGAGGAACGCCAAACGCGGTCACAAGTTCCTGATTTCGGATATTGTCTTCGACTTCTGTATGATCCGAACAGCCACTTGCATCTTTCGGATCACGTGGTCGATTGTGTCGACCCGAGGAGTTGTGTTGCTGGCGTTGATCACTGAGAATGGAGGGTAAGTCAAGTGGTCCGAGCCGCGGACGGAATGAACTCCTTACTAACACAATGCTCAGTGCCGCACTTCTCTTTGCTGTCAACATCTTCTTCGCCCAACGACTGGTCCGCTCGATCCATCCGAAGGCTGGATGGTGTACTGCGTTTGGTCAGTTCAGCCTGATTCTGCTCTTCTCGGTTCCGGCCTTCATTATTCTGAACATGACTTCGACGATTATCGCATTTTTCAGCGTTGGCAATGTAGATCGTCTGGAAACTACAGATACTTTGCTCAAGTTCGGAAGTTCATGGAATACTTTTCTATCCATCTTCCCTATCCTCGTCGTAAGCGGGTGCCTCTCTGTGCCAGGTCCCAGGCCAGAGAAGTTCGGTTCCGGTTCGCAGAGGGTGAAGGTGGCCCTGCTCTACCTGGGATCGTTCCTTTTGATCACGGGACAATCAATTCGCCTTTTCGCTGTGTTCAATAAGGAACTACCAGGGGCAACTCCAAGCGTAATTTACGGCAAGGCTGTATTCTACACGACGGGGTTCTTCTTTGAGCTCATTGTCGTCGCGCTTTACGCCATTATGCGGGTTGACCTTCGGTTCCACGTTCCGAACGGAGCAAGTGGGCCCGGGGACTACTCTGGCGACAGGGACAAGGGCAGCTACTCGGTCGAAGAGATTGAGCGGCTCATTGACGATTTGGAAGTGCCACACCAGATTATGCGAGAGAGAAAGGGACCAGAAGACATGGAGATGGTGTTCACCATCTTCTTTGCCACCAAGGACGCCGGAAAGGATAAACAGAAGAAAGAAGCCGGCGAAGGGTCAGACGAAACGTCGTCTGGTACCAACGCCGAAGACGAAGCGCTGCCGGAGAGGCCGAAAAGAATCACCAGAAGGCAAACGCTCATCGACGCCATCAACCGGCCTCCGCGACCGCCCAGGACGCCGTCGGCATACCCAGATATTCCGGACATGTACGCCCAGATGGGCGAGCCAGAGATGCCGCCGAGACGTCCTACGAGGCCGTCGATGTATTCTCAATTCGACAACGGGCAGGCGTATGACGCTAGGGCCGATGCGCGGTATCAGCAGCAGTATTGGGGTGCATCACCGCCTTATGGAAACGAGAAGGAGGGCATGAAAAGCGGAGACTTGAGACGATGAAGAATGAAGGAAGCAAAGCATTGAAGCGAAGCGAGCGAGTTGCGAACGGGAGCCGCTTGGGCGTCCGTCTGATGTATTCTAGTCACATATCATGATTACTTTCCACGCCGGAAGTAATGACACATGAGAGAGCGGAATGAGTCAAAAGTCGGCAGTCGTACCATCTCACTTTATTCATCAGCCCTTGGCTGGTCTCATCATGGGAATCATTTGTGACGACTGGCCAACATCAGTCATGATTGAGAAGCCTGCTTGTGAGTAGAGGTTAACAATGTACTCCTCGGCGTCGAGATACATTGGGTAGCCCAATTGGTCGGCGATTTCCGTCCCTCGTTGAAGGAGGGCTTGCGCATAGCCTCGTCGAAGGTAGGCCGGGTCGGTAAATATCAGCTCGAAGTCTGGTATACGGTTAGCGTCTTACGGGTGGGCGGCCGGCAAAATTGTCAGCGGGAATGTTGTTCGTAGTGAGCGAACCGGCTGGCCGAGCCCAAAGTTGACGACGTACAAACGTGAGGGCTGTTGCCCATGACGCGTTCGTGCTGAGACGCCATGTCGGAGAAGAACTCGTCAAGAAGCTCATCCTTTTGCCCTGCATTAGCGGGCGGCCATCGCTTTCGCCATGACCAGGTTCCGTTGTCTTCGGGACGGATGATCCAGATGAGGGTTGTGGCCACAGGCTCGCCTTGAAGAGGACAGCTGTCAGTCAAAAGCTACGAATATACATGGTGCCGTCTACTCGGCGGAGTCCGGAGTCCGAAGTACGGAAAGTGTGAGACAAGATCGGAGTTCGGACAGCCGCCGGAGTTGGTGATGTCGTGGGGTTTGACTACCTTTCTCGTTTCTGACAACAGCAACCTGACCTTCTTGAGAGCCGTGCTCTTTGGAGAACATGAAATGTCTGTAGGCATTGGTCATGTAGGCCCGGCCGTATTCGTTTTGGGGGAACATGGTCTGAAAGAAGTCACTATTGAAAGACTTCAGGAAAATTTCGGCAATAGCGGGAGCGTCTTCGAGCCTGGCCGGTTCGACGGAAACGGGTACTGCCGCCATCGGAAGCAGGATCGACGGTGAGGTGAGGGTCAGCGAGAATGAGCGTCAGAGCGAACGATAAATCAGATGCCAAGAGAGAGTAGGAGGAACGGTGGATATAAGGGTGCTGGCGAGGCTCAACGGCTGGTGAGACGGTTCGGGTGGGAGAAATGAGACGAAGAAGACATCGAGGTTGAAGGAGATCCAGGAATTAGCCCAGTATTTCAAGGCCGGCAGCCAGGCAGCTATGGCCAAGCCATAGCATGACTCCGAGGCCGAGGCCGACTGATACGATATGGACAGCGGGGTGCAAAACGCTCCCCAACTTCGAAATCCCCAGATGGCGTTCCACCAGAAACCCCTGACTCGTCTACGGATTGGTCTCCCGTACTCAATGACCAGCTCGTATGCGCGGAGGGCGGAGACGTCTCCCCGACATGTATAATGTATCTGTAAGTAGGTAGGTTACTTTGTCCACCCAAACTTGATCAAGGGCGTTTCTGTGAGATGGAAGAGGAAGGTCGAGACAAGCAATGAATCCTTTCCGTGTTCAGTGGCAAAAGAGAAACTAGAGCCTGACAGTCATACAAACATGATGTCTGTCCCATTTGACGGCGCTTGATCAGGTACATAGAGGCACAACACAGAAACACAAAGTAGCAGGATTTCAGGCTGACGTTGGATGAGGCCCGTCGCAAAACTTGGCCAACCCCCTAGGATTGAATGATGGGCGACAGCTCGTGAGCCGGGATGCCTCCAAGTTCCATTGATGGAGGGGTAGTTTCGCTTATGTAATGCTAAAGTCTCACAGAGTTGTGCCGAAGGGATGTGCGGGGCTGGACCACCGCCCCCGTCACGTCCGTTCGGCGAAGCTAAAGTGGTCACGTGCAATCTGTTTCTCAACGCGTTTGCGACGCGTCTCCAAGGCCAATGCATCACGTCAAGGTGTCTGGGTCGTCAGATTCCCACTTCACCACCTCGTCCGCAAATCACCAATTGAGCTCCCCCGCACCGCAGCCAACATGTCCGACTTCGAAGATGAAATGGACGTCGACGTCCCCGTGTCCAAGGATATTACCTTCTCCTCGGACGCCAAGCAGGGCAAGCGCAGTGCCGCCAACCTCCCTGTCGAAGCCGAAGACAGTCTGCCATGGGTTGAAAAATATCGCCCAGTAAGCCTCAACGACGTGTCTGGGCATCAAGACATTCTTTCAACAATCAACAAGTTTGTCGACTCAAACCGCCTACCCCACCTCCTCCTCTACGGTCCCCCAGGAACCGGCAAGACCTCGACGATTCTCGCCCTCGCCCGCCGCATCTATGGCGCCGAGAACATGCGGCAGATGGTCCTCGAGCTCAACGCATCAGACGATCGTGGCATCGACGTCGTCCGCGACCAGATCAAAACCTTTGCCTCGACAAAACAAATATTCACCCTCGGCCCATCGGCCAAGTCAGGCAGCGGTGGCAGCATGGCGTCGTACAAGCTCATCATCCTCGATGAGGCTGATGCCATGACGAACACGGCCCAGATGGCGTTGCGCCGCATCATGGAGAAGTACACCGTCAACACCCGCTTCTGCATTATTGCAAACTACTCGCACAAGCTATCACCGGCGCTGCTGTCAAGATGCACGAGGTTCCGCTTCAGTCCCTTGAAGGAGCGGGATATCAGGGTCTTGGTCGATAAGGTCATCGAGGAGGAGCATGTCAAAATCATCCCCGACGCCACAGAAGCATTGGTGAAGCTTAGCAAGGGTGACATGAGAAGAGCGCTCAACGTGCTCCAGGCATGCCACGCATCAAGTGAGTACTCACCCGGGTGTGCTTGAAGGCTCCAATCCAAGTAGCATGCTAACAGAACGCAGGTACACCGCTGCAGCCCAAGAACGCACCCAAGGTGGCCGAGACCGACATTGTGAGGGAGACTATCTCTACCGAGACGATATACAGCTGTATCGCCGCACCTCAGCCCGATGCAGTACAGGAGATCCTCGACGTTCTGCTGAGCACAACAGACGTAACATCTTGCCTCAATACTATCAACACATTAAAGGTGTCACGGGGCCTCGCCTTGGCAGATATCATCACGGCTCTAGCGGAGCAGTTGGCGACGCTCGAGGTCAAGCCAGAAATCATGATCAAATGGCTCGACGGGCTCGCGGATATTGAGCACCGGGTGGCTGGCGGCGGCAGCGAAACGGTGCAGACGGGAGCTGTGGTGGGCGTCATTCGGAGCGGAGCTGAACTCATGATCAAATGATTAAGTCGCAGTGTAGACGTGCGGAGGGAAGATGGATAATTCATGATGTTATGATCATCTACAATCGTCGGCCCGAATGACTTTGCATGACATGCCAAACTGCCGTCTTCCACCCAACCTGGGTCAAACGGCAACACCCAGCCCCCACTTCAGCTGGTGCTAATTTTGGAGTCTACTGCACTAAACCAGTCGACAGCAATGGATGCCAAGTCGCGGGTCGATCTGCGATACGTCGATGTGGCTTCCATGGATACCGTCATGGAATGCAGTGTCTAGCCATCTCCAGCCACCCGCTGCCGACTTTTTGCCTTGCCTTGCCCTGCCTTGCGTTTATATGGTTGTGGCGTATTTGTGGAATGCGCAAGCCGAAGTCGAAGTCTTGAATCTGAGTCGTTTGAATTGTCAGCCTCTGAAACATCTCCTTTTGTCGCTACGCTTCCTCCAATCTTCAAGGTCGCATCAACTTCGAGAGGTCGGTATCAACGGGTTCAGGAGCCAAGGACTAGGAACCGAGTGCGTCGAAATCGGATTCTTGATATGTACTGTAATATAAACACGGAAAGGTTCTTCTATTGTGAGCGCTCGCTTTGACTGTTTCTCTCCTTCGGCCAACAAAACTAGACCCATTGAGCAGTAGACGTGTTTTCCAGATGAACGCCAAAAGCCATTTCAAAACCCAAGTCTTGCCTCGCCTGCCACGTCATGATGATGATATACACACACTAAAAGAAGAAAAATACACACATGCCTGCGGTTCTATACAGATGCCAGACCGATAAACGCCTGGCTATTTTAGCTTTCATGGGAAGCGTTTTGTTTTCTCCCTGACAAGAAAATCCGAGTCAAGGGAATTCTAATCGAGGGGTGTGTTTCTTCACCATGCCTAAGAATCCCGTATCCAAGTCCTTGGCGTACTCAGACATGGGATATGGCTTCACGTGAAACATACGTCACGTCTCAAAGCCTTGGATGGCAGCTATGCTTGCGTTGTGGCAGATCCTCGGCGCTGCACTCTCGTAGCGACGTAAATGTCTCGTGTCGACACCTATTTGGTGATGACTGGTGCGTTTCTGCCTCAGACATCGGGCCATTTGACGGGTCCGCACTCGCCCTGCTGCTCAATCCAGGCGTTAATCTTCTCTACAGCCCAGCCGGACATTGTGCGCTTTTCTTCTGTAGACTCGGGCTTGACGGGATGGCCGAGCTTCCATGCCCAACTGAAGCCGCAAACGCCGTCCTTGTACTGGAACGAGAAGCAGGACCTGTCGGCCTCGCAGGCCTTACGGCAGTTGCCAAAGGATAAGTGCGCAACCTTCTCCTCCTCTGTCAGGTCTTCCTTTTTGGCACGGCTGAGTTGCCAGTCTTGGTGCTTGTTGGCTGATTCGTCGAGGAAAAATCGGTCATCGGCGAGGTTATCCCAGTCGGCGCGCTCAGGCTGCATTCGAGGTGCAAAGAATTCGTGGTAGATATCCTTGATGCGCATGACTGGAGGCGGCTGGGGAAGGCTAGAGTCGGAGTAGCGCTTGTGCTCGTATTCCCAGAAAGTGGAGATCTCCTCGGCATTCATGTGATGCATCGTCACGATGGGGTGGCACCAGTGAGTAGGTCCATACGGAAGGGTAAAGGGCTTTTCGCCGTTGATTGTAGGCCACTAGGAAATGGTCAGTTCAAGCTGTGCAAGACACAAAGAGGTACTGTTTGATACTCACCACATTATGAACGTTGACATCGGCATTGTCCTTCATGGCTAGTGCAAATATGTAGTCTCCGCAGCATTCTTTGCCTGCACGAATATCCCACTTGTTGCCGACATCCTCATGGTCCGCAATCATGTCGTGCATAGCCGCTTGAGAGACGATATAGCCGCTGCCGCCGTGGCCAAAGACGAAGTTGCGAATCATGGTGACACTGCCGAGATAGTGCTTGTTCTTAGGGTTTAGGTTCTTGAGCCACTGGACAAGCGTAGGCCAGAGGACGTAGGTATCGGCGTCGATGTAAATGTACCAATCGTAGTTGGGGCGCATACGGTAGGTCTTCTCGGCAATATGGACATTCTTGTACTTGTCAAGATTCCAGCCCTCGTCTTTGCTTACAGCCAGTTTGTTACAGCTCTGCTGATCGGCCTGGCAAGCCTTTTGGCGACGATAAAGATCGAAGTCTTGGTTGCCTTCCATAGCCTCAGGAAGAACCTTGTCGAGGCTGTCCCGAATGTGGTAGTTTGCGACGGTCTGGTCGAGGTCGGAGAAGATGAAGTATTCGGGCAAGCACTTAAGCATGGTCATGAGCTGAGTAGGGACCTTGTCGAAGGACTCGGTGGCGCCCGTCTTCATGATGACGAGAATGTTGCTCGTGTCGGGAAAGGAGTCGCAGATGGGGTCATGAGGACGGTAGGGAATGTCTTGATTCGATACATTGTGCTGTGCGAGGCGGTCGTCTTGGTAGCTCGGGGGTGGCGGAGGAGGCGGGGGACGACCATCGGAGCCTGCGCTGGGGGAGCTTCCGGGAGGTGGAGGTGGGCTGTGGCCTTTGAAGGGGTGGTAGTTGGGACCTTCGATAGCCCAGTCGCCGCCGAGTCTCTTCGAGGAGATGAGGAAGATGACTGCAGTGACGGATACGAGGGCAAGAACGGTGAGGGCGCGACGGGATAACATGTTGATGGCGACAATAGGGTTTATGCAAACGTCATTCCGTCTTTGGCTCAATCCCATGATAGCAACACGTCGGTTATGGAGGTGAGAGAATGCCCGCGGCGACGGCGACGGCGAGGTTAGTTGGCGGACTCCAAAAAACGCGGAAGAAAGTTGTATCCAGGCAATAGCTGGCAGGGTTTGCCGTCCAAAAAATAGTGTACAAATTCGGTAAAGGTGGGATAAGGTAGACTGGCGTTCTGCGCGCAGTCGTGTCGCGAAAAGGGAATCTGGTAAGATGCGGCAGAGAAGAAGGTTCCAAAAAGGTCTGGGTTGTCGAGAACCAAATAAGGCAAGGTAGTGAAAAGAGTGAGGGTGAATGAAATGAGGTGGACGAGAAGGAAGGAGCAAGGAAGGAGATCCTGGGTCGGAATATCTCAGCCACTGTGCGCCGGGGCCAAAGGGTTAATGGAAGAAGTATGAAGCAGCAAAGCTTATTGTCTGGCTGGTTAGAAGTTGGAAGCGAAGGCGAAAAGAGAAGAGGAGGGCGGGCCGTCGCAGAAAAGAAGAGTTGTACCCCTGTCTAGTTTGACGGGAAGGTGCTCCGTACATAGATACGCAAAAACCAGGCAGGGAAAATAAGTACAGTGCCGAGTGAGTAAGGAGGTAAGGAGGTCATTAAGGCGGGAAAGCGAGAAAAGCGAGAGACATGAGGCTGCGCGGGTGCCTTGGGCAAGCAGTGTCCTGGCAAGATGAGGTGAAGCAGATACCTACGTCCAAGTCTAAAGTGTGTAAAAGAATGATGGGAGGGGACCCGGGGAGCGGGACGCGCTGAACTAGATGGGGTTGAGATGGATGGATGGCGTGGGGAGCCAAGCGCCAAGCACTTGTTTTACAGCATCACAAATTGTTCGTGACCAAATGGCAAACAGGGACGTTGCGGTACCTTATTTTTCGCAGAACTCAGGAGTACGGTTCGGAGCAAAGATACGTACTCTAAGAGGGCCAAAACGGTCCGTCCGTCCTTGCAACCGGGCATTTTAGCTTTGCCTTGGATCCGGGTACCTTTGTACTAAACGCGCTCCGTTGGGCCTAAGAGGTTGCAATTGATAATGGCTAAGAATATATGACTGACGTTGACATGTACCTCACGGTGGTGGCGCGCAAGCTACCTCATAGTGCCGCCAGAGTCCGTAGCGACCAAAGCAGCCGTCAGTCGTGAAAAGATGGTTGATTCACAGTCTGAGGGGCTGGAGTTGGAGTCTGGAGTGATGCCTCGATTATCGTCGCAGTCGAGTTCGAGATGCAGGACTTGCCCCCACTGTCTTGTTCGAGGTTGAGGATGTGGACGAACTTTGTTCTTAGCATTTTGTGGGTTTCCTTGGGCTTGGCTTTCAGGATGAAATGAACCTTGATCGAGTTGGGCAATGGAAACCGACCAGGGTGCCTTCCATTTCCTCAGAGAAAGAACGGATACGTAGGTACTCCGTACCTCCAAGGTCATCCCAGAGCGGGTACGTATTTCGTGCCGTGGCCCGCACCTCCAGGCTCCGACCGGCGACTTTTCCAGGTTCTTTCCATTCTATTGTCTGTTCCTTCTTCGTGGAAAGCGGCACTCACACGCCATTGCCGTCTAGGTGAGGTATCTGGTATTAACTTACGTAGCAGGAAAAACTTGCTGTTTGCCAGACTTGCGCAAGACGGCAACGCAAGGAACACTTTCTTCGCTTCCACCTCTGGCTCCTTTCCTTCTCTTGTCATTCTGCATGGAACAGTGGAATTCCGAACGACGGCACGATCTCACGCAGGGGTGGCGATGCTTGTGCTGCTAACACACCACCTGGTTGGCTCATGACGGCCTAGGCGGCTGTCGCTTACGGTCGGGACCTCCTAAAAGATGACGAGATGGGTGCAAGCACAGCAAGCAAGGGGAAAAGAAGAAGAAGGCACGCCGCACTGTTGTGGATCAGAGAGAGAGAGAGAGAGAGAGAGAAAGAGAGACAATCCAAAAAGGGTTTGACGGCAGGCATAACCGAGATGCACACCAGCGGATCATGAGCATAAAAAGGGGTGTGCAATCTGTCGATACGAACTATTCTGCCACATCTAGTCTGCATAACACACACCACTGTCCCAAATGGAGCATCCAGTCAAATGTTAGCTTCAGCACCTTACCAGTACGTACCTTACTGTGGAGGTGGTATTACGGACAGGCCTAGAAGAGAGGGATGCTCAGCACCACTGTCGCTAATTGCTAGACAGCTTACACAATACAAACCGCCTTCACCAAAGGGTGCGTTTTCGTTCGTCGGCCTTACTCTCCTCTTCCATCTTGTAGGTATCCGAATGAATTTGGTCCGCGGCCTGCCCCGT